CTGAGCTTCAAGTAGGACGTTAAATATATCTATATATGTCGGTTAAATATTTAGCTGCTTGCTTGATTATGATCAGTACGTAATTAAAATCAATAAGTGCATGTTTTCTTTAATATGACGTTGCAGAGGGTTGATGGAAAAGAAGCAAGGCTCGCAGACTACTTTGATGTGATTGCTGGAACAAGCACTGGTGGTCTAATGACCGCAATGCTAACTGCTCCTAATGGATGCAATCGCCCCAAATTTTCAGCCCAAGAAATATTAGATTTCTATATGCTTAAATCACCTAGCATCTTTCGACAAAGACCCTGGTGAGCTTAATCGATCTCATAAGTAATCTCTTTAGGGTTTAGTATGGAACTGCTTTTTTCCAGCTTCTTAAAGCTGTCTTTTTAATATATCCCAAAATTAATTTGTACTAGAAAGCCTCTTTAAACAGCACTGAGAAAGTTGTCTCAAAGATTTCGTTTGGGACAACTTTTTTACTGCTTCTTAAAATGATTTTATAGTATAAAACTTTTAGTTTTTTACTAAAATGCTGCTTTAAGAAGCAGAAAGAAACGAAGAATAAATCTATTCATGAGATTAGGACTTTAGTTACAATAGTACGTAGGGAATTATGATAATAAGCTCAATTAATGCTGTTTTAAATTGCTGCAGTCCGTATTTATTTGGCTCAAATTGCGGCTGTTTCGGTAACCTTTGCGGGCCAAAGTATGATGGAAAGGTCCTCCACGAAGAGATTGAGGATAATCTTGAAGGCATAAAACTGCATCAAACTCTAACCAATGTTGTAATCCCAGCTTTTGATATCGAGCTCCTTCAGCCCACTATATTTTCCTCATTCGACGTAATTATAATCATTTTAATTAAGCTAGCTATAATAATATTATTAACCCATCGATCTGCTAAACATTTCCAATTATTTTATAGACAAAATCTGCTCCATCGAAGGATGCTTATTTATCAGACATCTGCATTGGCACCTCAGCTGCACCTGTTTACCTACCTGCTCACTACTTCAATAACGAAGACTCCAATTTCCTTCCTCAAGAGTTCAATCTCATCGACGGAGGAGTTGCAGCAAATAACCCAGTATGTTAATATATTTCTCATCAGTTAGGCTTCGTTTGGAATAGTTTTCGTACTGTTTCTTAAACTAATTTTCTATGAAGCTGCTTTAAAAAGCAATAAAAAAGTCGCCCCAAACAAAACCTTAGTTTATTAAATTGGTCATGATGTTGTATAAATATATGAATTTGTACGTCGTACAGACTTTGCTTGCCATGAGTATGGTGAGCAAGAACATTTTCCAGCAAAGAGAAAATTACTTCGAGACAGAACCAGCGGAATACAAGAATTTCCGCGTACTTTCACTTGGCACTGGATTGGCCAAGCAACAGAAATACCATAGCGCAAAAGAAGTAGCAAAGTGGGGAATGCTTCGATGGCTCTGCAATTGTTTTGTTGACATGCCCATCATCAACATATATTCAGAAGCAAGTACAGACATGGTTGATATCATGCTTTCATTTCTCTTCAAATCTCTGGAAAAAGAGGGCAAATATCTTCGCATTCAGGATGACACATTGACGGGAGACGCTGCATCTATGGATATCGCAACAGGAGAGAACCTGAAAAAATTGGAGAAGATTGGAGATGAA